GGGTAGTGGTCTGCTCAAACGAAACTAACTGAGGACAATCCCTCCGATAATGACCACTAGATCCACACTGATAGCAAAGACCCATCTTCTTACGACACTCTCCTAAGTGTTGTTTACCACAATACTCACAAAGGGGCCCATTATAATACGACGAGGAACCGCCTCGACTGACAGCTAAAGGTGAGGATGCTGCAGGCCTGAAACGTGTATTGCTTCTCTGAGGGGTTGAAGTACGAGTCCTCTTCCCGGACTGTGCTAATGACTCCATCGGGCCTGAAAATTTCTTAGATCGATCTTGATCAACACGCTCTCTACCATAAGCTAAAACCTCCACCTCTTCCGCATCTTTGGCTCTGCCCACCAACACATCAAATATCTCATCCTGATGGGTTACAACTTGCCTACGCAGCTCGTATCTGAGTCCAAGGGCAAATTTACGACATCGATCTCTCTCCGTAGGTACCATACTGAATCCATACTTCAGCAACTTCAGGAACTCAATCTCATATTCAGAAACAGTCATGTCTCCTTGAACCAGGTCTTGAAACTGTTGTCGTCTCTGAGCTAAGTAGCGCTCTCCCAGAAAACGGCTCCGAAAGCGATCCTTAAAGAAATTCCAGGTCAAACGATCGGTAGGAACACTACTGGTCACTGACTCCCACCAAGTGTAGGCATTGCCATCTAACATCGCCACAGCACCCTGATATCTCTTAGTTGAGTCCAAACCCAACTGATCCATGCGTCTCTCTGTATCCTGGAGCCAATCCTCAGCTTCAGTAGGAGCTCCACCTATCTATCCCCCAAAAGTTCTAACTCCATTGGCAATCAAAGTCTGCGAAATAGGAACCTCAGATACAACACCAGTAGCTCTGACTGCTCCCTGTATTAACTGCAGAAATTGTCTACCAAAATTCTCATCCAAAGCAACTCCGGTAGACTCTGACTCAATATCGGTCGCTCCTATTATCGGTGTAGTCATGCCAATACCAGCGGCAGGAGGCAGGTCCGTTGGGGTCGTAGGAGCATGATCACCTATCGGAGGTGGGGGATCTACCCGTATCTCATCGATCGGATCTGTGAATCTAGCCACTCGACCTCGTCCACGGCTAGTTCGACGACCACGTCTAGCACTCATTTTGATAGATCTCAAGTTTACTACAGAAGATAAAACTTAGGGTTAGATAAGCACTTAGAGTCTCAAACATAGTTAAAATCTTAATAACTTTGTGACATGGCCTTAGTAACTCGTTTTGTAAAATATTTCAAAACCGTATTTTCAATGTGAACTCATACACAGCCCGAGGGTTAAAAACCAAAAGCTCTGATACCAATAAATGTAACCCCCTAGACCCGGCCTATGCGTTTCGACTAAGTCTAGTGGATCACATTATGATTATTAAAGACATTTTCCGAAATCGTTATTTTATCAATATAAAATCACATTATAAATAACATGAAATTATAAACAAATTATACTATCAAAATCCAACTCGTAAATATAGTACCAATAAATAATAATTTAATTTAAAACATGTCTTCAAATTCAAAATCACAATAAACCGAGCAGTACTAGCAAAAGAGTCATCATTATAAAATCCGATATTTAAAATAAGGTCCATGTCACCAAAATAAAGTCAACTTGCAAGATAAAAACATTACAATCTGATTCACTTCAAGAGATATGTTGATCCTCCAAGTGCTCGAACCGAGGTATCTAACCAACAGTATCTGAAAGGGGGAAAACATTTTCAAAAGGTGAGCTAGGCTCAGTGTGTCCCAACATTTCCATAAAATGTCAATAGGTACAAATCATAGTCCAGTAATCTTACAAATTCGTAAAAGAGTTTAACTTTTGAAAATCATAGTTTAAACCCTTTTCTGGTACACCATCAGTAGTTCTCAAAATTATTTTCCATATAGCTTACTTTATGCACATAGCAAAAAGAAAGCCGACTTAAGGATAGGCTCTGAAGCTTGTATCCTTAAGCCCAAGTCAATAAGTCCATATAGCTTACCCAAAGCACACAGCAAAGGAAAGCCGACCTAATGAAACATCTTGGGGCCCTCAAGAGTCACATTAGGCCCATTTAGCTTGATCAGAGCTATTCCATCGTAATTCAATTCCAAAATTCAATTGCACCGTGACATAAATTCCATAAATCCAAAAACATGGTAATCATATACCATTTCAAAACAAAAATTAGATAGCAGCCATATTCCATAAATTGTCACATTAAATTGGTGCATCCATAAACAATAACCAATGAATTCGGTGTACCACATATTAAAACCAATGAAACAGTTCAGTAATAAGTAGGGAACACACCTCGATAATAGGTTCAAATAGCAAATCTACTGATTGTTGGTTTCACCACGCTCTGCTACAGTTTTCAAACCTATTTAACAATAACATTATATTACTTATGAGTAATATAAATAGATCCCTAAAATCATAAAATTTACGGTCTTACGGGTGAATACTGGCACACGTGGTTTAACTGATATAGAAGAGCTGGGTCGAGCTGTCGAACGATCCGGAAAGTCTCTTGTACCTTCAAACAATAATAATTGATCAGCCTCAAATCTTATTTAATTATTCAAAGCTAGAATTCTTAAATATCTAAGCATTTTTCGGGTTTGACTATCAATTTGGGGTATTTCGAGTCCGAATTTAGCCAAACGGATTGCGGAAACTGAATCAGGACGTCAAAAAATATAAAGTATGATTTTTTGAAAATTCAAATTCTTGGTCAAAGTTAAAGTCAACCACTTTGACCGTCGATTTGGAGTCCTTCGAGTTCGAATTTGACGAAACGGACAGCGGTCGTTTAATGCTCGGTCAAAGCCATTTTAAGTTTTGGTCAAAGAAAGTCAACGGTCAACGGTCAACGGTCGGGTCGGGTCGGGTCAACGGTCGGGTCGGGTCAGACCGGTCAAACCGATTCAGACCGGTCAAACTGGTTTCCAGCAGCCACTCGTCCTACGGCGGCGCGTGTGGCGCGTGAGGCGTCCTCTGGGGCCCTAAAAATCCCGGAAAAAATTCTAAAAATTATTTTGAACTATTTCGAGATACTTACAACGATCGGTTCAAATTTTTGAACGGCAGAGATCTCGATTTCAAATCGGCCGAATCTTTGACTGCACCACCTCCTCACGCGCCGCCGTCTACGGCAGACAAGGTTGACACCGGTGAACTCGGAACGGCACAAGGAACACGATGGTGCGGGAGGTGTCGTAAACGGAGCAACGATCAGTGGTGAATTTAAGATTTTCTCGGCGATAGAGCTAACAAAACCGTCGCTACTTTGACTGGAAATTCCCGACGTTTGGCCGCATTTCGCTTCAATTAATTTGAAGGGTTTGTTCCTCGCTCGATGATGAACACAACGGTGGTTTCAAAACAACGATCGGAATTCGGACGGCGTTTGGATCGGACTTGAAAATGGAGGTGTGAGAGGAAGAAAATTGAAGGAATAGCATTTGTGATTTCTGATTGTAAATCAGAAATCACGCTTAAATCATCAAGCCTACCGACAGTTTTAAGGGAAATTCAAGGCTTGGTCTCTGAATTTTCTTTACTTCGAAAATGGCATACAAGTTTCCATAAATTTTAATTTAGTCACTTAATTTCACCCATTTTCACAATTTACCTCCAATTTCAATTAATATTATTTTGTAAATATTCAGGTTGTTACAAATATCGTCGACCTTGAGACTTGCCGAGCTTGTCAGTCAATAAGCGACATGTGTAACTACCGTGGATGCTCGCCGCGACAACACAAAAGACAACATCAAGTGAGAATCAACAGAGTAAAAGATGACACTCGATTGCTGATGGAAGGGAAAGCGTCCTTAAACACTGCCCCTCGACAACTCCTCCAAATGACTTTGGTAAGCAACCTAGGTAAATTTAAGCGAGTGTTGCTTAACAACTATTGCAGGAGTTGCTTCCCCAATTACTTTAGGGGCAACTTTAAAAGCAAGATAGTCTCATCTTGAATAATGATATCGAACCAGCTATAATGGCAGGAAAAGCTCTCTGATTGCTTCTTTGGTAAAATAAACTAGAAGCCATACAAGTATTGTTAACAATCGTTGTGTGGTCAGTAGAAATGAGAGTTATCTCATTAGATTTATAGACTAGGAATTAGTTTAGACAAAACCTACTAGTTAAATTTTCATCTATGTCTTAAACTAATACAAGGCTTTGACTAGAATTTAGTTACTTGTCAAACAAAGCAATGAGAAAGCTTCCTTTTAATGTATTATGTAGCACTCAAACACTTCTAGCACATACAAAGACTAGACTCATTTCTTCGTTTGAATACTAAAGTTCTACAGACTCTTCTAGTACAAGGATTGAGTGACTTATTTCCTTCGTCGTATTACCATGGTATTGAGATTTTTCATTGTGTTGTCATAGTGCTAATGAAAAAATTTTGTTGCTGAGTGAAAGCTTCCCAACATTCTTTGGAGGATTCGCAGAACTACGGTAGTTTATAATATGAATTTCTCTCGTTGGAGGATTCATAACACTCTTTGGGTTCCATCTTTTCTCCTTTATTAGTAGAGAGATTCTATAATAACTCTTAGAATTTAGTACTAAACATTGAATCATTATGATTATTTATAGACTAACTAATTAGATAAAAATAATTAAAGGACAATGAATTTAATTTTGATAGATCGGATAAGCATCGCAAAGATCTTGTTAACAAATCATAACTTTTCAAAGAATGTTAAATATTTGACATCATTCCTTCAAAAAAAAATTCCATCTAAGACCTCCATAACGAGGTTTTGCTATTCGACGGTTAAAGTGATGGAATGTGATCTGTCGTGGAAGTGTGACGGAACCGCATTTTTATTCCGTCGAAGCAAACATGGCATTAATCCATTTGGGTGTTTATATAAAGCAGTTAAAATTTTGGCACCTTCTCTAAAAGAATATATATATATATCAATGTCTAGTAAACTTTATATATTAAACCTGGAGAGTAGCCTCTCTCTCTCTCTCTCTCTCTCTCTCCCTGGAAAAAAAAAAGCCTGTTAAGCCAGACAGCCACCTTTGCTAAACAAAGCCGCCCTGCTTTCTCATCTAATCCAGAGATTGGAAAGAAAAGAAAAATGTCTCAAAATCTTACAAAACCAAACAGCAGCTTCATTTCAAAGCGATCGCCGCTCTGTACTTCTCTGTTCCTCGTAATCCTCGTCGTCATAGGTCTCTACACTGTCCATCACCCACACAGAAATCCCAAAAATGCCCTACTTTTCCAGCAATTATTCCTCTCTTCTGCCACCAACTACACTGTCTCCTCCTACCTCCGTTCCCTCACCTCCCACCCTCATGTCGCCGGCACCAAGCCTTCCCTCGAAACCATCCACTACGTTAAAACCCACTTCCAAAACCTTGGCTTCGAAACCCACACGGTGCCGTTTCGGACCCTTTTGTCCTACCCTCTCCATGCTTCCGTTTCAATGCATTTCAGTAACGGCACCGTCTTTAACTTGCCTTTAAACGAAATGGGTATCACTAATTACGATGTGTCTTCCAGCTTGATACAACCCTACCATGCATTTTCTCCCTCGGGAACGACGCTGGGTAAGGTTGTTTTTGCGAACCGCGGGACGGAAGATGACTATGATGCACTTGGACGGATGGAGGTTAACGTTAGTGGGTGCATAGTGATGGTTAAAAAAGGTGGCGGTCTGGGTAGAGGGGCCGTTGTTGAAATAGCTGAAAAAATGGGCGCTTTGGGAGTGCTAATGTATGCTGAAGGGGATATTTCGAGGGGCAGCTTTGGGTTTGGAGTTGAAAGAGGGACAGTTATGAGGGGAGTTGGGGACCCTTTAACTCCTGGATGGGCTGGGGTTGAAGATGGTGAGAGGTTGGAGTTAGAGGACAATAAGGTTTCCGAGAGATTCCCTGGAATTCCATCTCTGCCCTTGCCTTTTAAGAGTGCTCAGCTTATCTTGGAGTCTCTTGGGGGTCCTTTAGCTCCGCAGGAATGGAGGGATTCCGGTCGGTCTAATTTGTCCCGGGTTGGACCGGGTCTGTTTATGGTGAATTTTACTTACCAGGTTGGTTTGGCTGGCTGGTAGATTGCTGCTGCTAATTTCATTTGCTTTTATTTGTTTTCACTGCATACTGTTGTTTATTTTATTCCTGTATATGCTATCTACAATGGGAAAAGTGGCTGACTTTTGTGCTTGATGTTAAGTGTTAAAAGTTGGTCAAACTGGATTTGCAAATATTGCAATTTGAATTGGGATTGATTTCAATGTTAAAATTGACTGAAAACAGAGCTTCTTTTGCCGGATGGTATATCTTGACCTGCATTTTTAATTCGAAAAGCTAGTTCAGTAAATTAGAGTGGTTATTGATGCTTTTTGAAGAAGTTGGGGTGACCTAATTTTAGCAAGTTTCAAATCATTGCCAAGTGAATAGCCCTGTAATTCATGGCTTTTATTGAGTATCTAGTTGTTTATGCATATTTGGTAATTGAAGGAAATTTGCGTTGGTTGGGCCACAGTTTGGTTTGTCTTTGCATGGTGTTTGAGTGTCCACTACCACTTGCATGTTTTTCTGTCTGCACGTTTCGTATCTTTTTCTTTCTTCTTTTGTCATGGAAGCTAGTAATGATTGACTGGAAAAATGAAGTTTTTATATGTTATATGCAATGAATTCAGATCAATCAGCTCAAATTATCATCACTAAGCTAAAATCTAAACCTGTAATCTACTTCATTATGCTCAAGCGTTACGGATTCTGATTTGTTTCTAGAAGGGAAAGTACTTTGAGCGATATCAACGTGCTTTATTGATGCCTCACTTTGGACTTCCCGCTATTGGAACTAGTTCATTCTTCTTTGGTCTACAAAACACATTTCGAGTTGATTCTAGTTATACATATTTAGCTATTTTTAAGCATTTATTATTACTATTCTTCTTTGTGGAAAGCAGAAAGATTATTACCTTTTAAATTCTATTCTCTGAAAAGATCTTCTTCATCTATATATATCTGGATTCTTACCTTTTGGTTTATTCTTCTAGGGAGAGAAAAAGTTGGCTACAATTTATAATGTATTCGCTGTCATAAGAGGGTTGGAAGAGCCTGATCGTTATGTGCTTATGGGGAATCATAGAGATGCATGGACGTATGGTGCTGTTGACCCAAATAGTGGCACTGCGGCACTTCTTGATATTGCTCGAAGATATGCCCTTATGATGAGAAAAGGTTGGAACCCTCGTAGGACAATTATCTTTTGCAGTTGGGATGCTGAAGAGTTTGGAATGGTAGGTAATGTTCCTCTTTGTTTAATACTGGCTTGAAAAAAGCTATTCATTTAGAGCAAATTTGGGCGTCAAACACCAAAATCTAGACCAAAAGAAAATCATTCTATTTACCAGCGACAAAGTTTTAAACTCCAAAAGCTGGGTTAGAGGGTTAGCTCATGTACTAGTTGGGCATATTTATGAAAATTGATGAATAAATAGTTATTAAAAGGTTATATAGAAACCATTTAACCTCACTTGCCGAGCTTAAATTTTTTTGATGTCCTTGTAAAGAATGATAATCCATCTTCCAGATTATCTTTTTTGTGACGACATAGGGTTACTTGAGGGGAAATTATCTGGTTTACGGTTTTGAGAAGTATGCATTTTGCAGCATACTTGAACATGTTTCAATAGTAATCAACTTGATAAAGCTTTTATATTTTATAATTACCTGACCCATTGGTTCTTCAAAGTTGATTATATGTTGCTATTTTTTTTCAGATCGGTTCTACAGAGTGGGTTGAGCAGAACCTTGTGAATCTTGGTGCTAAAGCTGTGGCGTATCTTAATGTTGATTGTGCAGTGCAAGGGCCTGGATTCTTTGCCGGGGCAACTCCTCAGCTAGATAATCTTATTTTTGAGGTCACAAAGAAGGTAGATAAGAGAGGTGGAAAAAAAGTGGATTACTTGTTAAGACTTGGTTTATTATACCCTTCAATTGACATTTAAACTAATTTCAGGTCAAGGATCCGGATTTGGAATTTGCTACAATATACGACAAATGGACAACCATGAATGGAAAAAGCAATGTAGGGCCACACAATCTTTGTCTTTCTTAATGTTGTGTTCATTTATTTTGCTTATAAGTACTCATAATATACATTGAATTTCGTACATATAGATCATCCTTTCCCATACTCACAAGTTCAATTGTTTGATTATGCATTCTCTTGGGAAGTGCATGTATATTCTGATAAAGTTTCTTGGACCTTATCATGTCACAAGCTTCTATTATTTTCTTGTTTTTTGTTTAGTTCATTTTGGGGATGTGGGGTACAAGTGTTAGGCTTGGCGGACATTTTTGCATCACTGGAAAAGGCAAGCTGGCATGCAATTATGCCTGGCTAATAGAACGATGATGATTTTCAACAAATGGTGTATGAACAACAATACTACCAGATATAGTTTACCTGAGAATCACTTTATTATTCTGATGTGATCTGACTGAATGCTTGAGAAATGATTGATTATAAGCGAAAACCAGATGCCCACTACAGCTGGTTATCGTTTTCTTTGTGATGGATAGTCCTTTAAGTTTGCTTTATATAAATTTAGAATGACACAAAAGTGACCTACTAAAAAGGAAAATGCTGCTATGTATTCCCCTGACTGACCACTTGCAATTGTACTTCATTCATGTGTTCTGATATAAAATTAGACATATAGATTCATTGAGATTCTCTTGGTTGTTTTGCAGATTGAAAGACTCACTGGTGTGGATTCTGATTTTGCACCATTCTTGCAACATGCCGGGGTTCCTTCTGTTGACATATACTACGGAAGAGGTACATTGTTATCACAAGTCTTCGAAAATTTGAACATAATGCATCCATAGCCGTTCATAATTCTTTAGTGCTACAATTTATGCTCTAAAATCCTTCTATCCAGATTTTCCTGTATATCATACTGCCTTTGATTCCTTCAGCTGGATGATAAATCACGCCGATCCATTCTTTTGGCGTCATGTGGCTGGTTAGCTTTCTTTTCATCCAACATATCCCTTGAAGAATTTCAAACATTCACTTGATAATCAAACTGTAAAAACTTTCTCATCAACTTCTCAAGATAACACTGTTTTTTGTCCAACATGTCAGTGGCTGGAGTTTGGGGTCTTTTAGGCATTCGCCTTGCCGATGATCCAATTCTACCTCTTGATTACCTTTCATATGCTAAACAGTTGCAGGTATGGAGTTATTCTCTCGATATGTTTGTTCATATTTTTTTTGATAGGAATAGTAGGCCTCATTAAAAACCTCCCTCTTAGTTGACTCTAGAAAAGAGTAACTAGCGGAAGGAGGAAAAGAGTGCCTCAATTTATTATAAAGAGAAACTATTACAATAAAATACGCCAATACATTTAGGGCAGCAGATTAAAACTAAAATCCTTAAAGCTCCCTAGAAAAATACCCTTACAATCAACCGATCCGCTCCTTAGCTAATTTATCGCCTCCCAATTACAGCCCCTAGGAATAAATCTAATAATAACCGCCCTTTCTAAAACTAAGGACACAATACCCAAAACAAGGGAACTGAAGAATATAGGAGCAGAATTAGGCAACAAAATCCAGTCTACTGCAGATTTGCAGTCACTTTCTAAGATCAGTCTTCCCTTCACAGCCCATTCAGTCATATTTCCAAGTGTTTCATTTCTTTCATTTCCAATTCTACCTCTTGATTACCTTTCATATGTTAGTTTAAGATAACTTAAAATTTGGACCCTGGTGATTGGAACATATTCCTTGAAGTACTTCCATTTAAAATAATGATCCACCCATTTGCATTCGGAAGCATTGAACATGAAGAATATATGCTTTGTTTTAGATCAGTTGGCTTTATTTCTTTTCCTTGCTGGCTTTCAAACTTTATCAAGGTTAGTGTGTGAGCACCTAACTATTGAGGTTGAGTTAGGTTCTGAAACTATTTTCTAACCTTTTTGTATAGGGGTATAAAGATACCTTGAGCGGAGTTTTGGATGCCAGCATATCCCTTGCTCCCTTAGCTGCGTCAATTCAGGAACTTACATCTGCAGCTAAACAAGCTAACAATGAAACAAAGGTAAAAGGGCGAGAAAGTTTATTGGAATTCTACTAATATTGAGGAAAGATATTTCAAGTTGTCATTTCTTATCGACTAATCCTGTGGTATCTTCCATTGTGGATTGCAGAATCTAATGGCCAGAGAATTTACCAATGATCTTTTAGCTCTGAAGATCCGAGCATTGAATGATAGGCTGATGCTTGCCGAAAGAGGCTTCCTAGATACAGATGGAATTAAAGGAAAGGAGTGGTTCAAGCATCTCGTAAGGATCTTCTTTTGTATATTGCTATTAGGACAGATTTAACATACTGATATAGTAATATGATTTGCTTCTCTGATTGATGGCGTAACTTCTGCTGCAAGTCTGTATAGCTTGAAGTTTCTAAATCGATCGGTGCAGATGGATACTTTTTAAGTTTTGTAAAATGGATACATTAAGGTTTTGATGGTGAATAAATTGATCGTTGCAGATGGATATAACTCTTCAGATGGATATAACTCTTTCTTTTTTCTGTTTGATTCAGATATATGGACCTCGCATTGGCCACAGGAGCGAATTTGATTTCTTCCCCGGAATATCAGATGCAATAGCGGAATCGAGCAGAAGGGATAGGGATGCAACAATTCAGCATGAAGTCTGGAGAGTTGCTAGAGCCATCCAAAGAGCAGCAGCTGCACTGAGAGGAGAGGTCTTCTGAAAACATTAAATATAAGAGAAAAAGAAAGGGAAGCATAAAGTTGTAGATATATGAGTCAAATTAGTTCCTTTTGCCTGGACTTAGAGTAGATATTGAATCTTTAGTTTATGGCTCTTATTTCTTAGCATTTGAACATTTATGGTTTTATTTTTTAATTAATATATCGTTTACTTTTTAATTAATTTATGGTTTTATTTTTCTAAATGTAAATATATCGTTTATATGTTACATACTTAACATATTAACCATTAGTTTATTATTGAGATATATAGATTCTTAATATACTTCAAAAGGTTTAAAGTGAACTTAATATATAAACAGATTTAAAATTAATTATTGTGAATTTAATATAATGTGTTGTCTACCTCAATGAAGAACATATGAATCTCTACTCGAGAGTCAACTATTTCATTTTCGGATTTTAGCTTAGTCATAACATGATTTATTTTATTCAAGATAATTGATAGATTACAAATTTATGTTACCAACTTGTATAAATTATTATTATTTTTACATTATAAATAATCTTACAGTGAAATTATGATTAATTGTATCAATTAGTAATCAATTAATCGATATTTACTTTAATCAATTCTTACATGAAATTTCAAGTTCGAGGAAATAAAATTCAAAAGAAATAAATAAAATATATAAATTTATTAAGTAAACCAGTTCATATGGAATTAAGTGAAATAATTATTACTCTAAGGGCACAAAAACATGTGCACAACCTCTATAAGGATTAAAAGTGATCGGGGCCGAAAATATTTAAAGCGAAACTATATTTGAACCATTATTTGTTGTAATCATGTATAGAGGAATAAATGCCTTTTTTTTGAAGGGTTTTGCACTTGCAATCTACAGAAGATGGAATGGATTTTTAGCCTTTGAGAGCATGAATGAGCTTCTACTATTACCATCTTTGTCTCTGAAGCTAATCAAAAGGTTGATGACTCTGATTTATCTTTTGGAGAAAACATGTTGAGTTTTTCAGAGTTCTTTATATTGAGTGTACAAATGACCACTTGCTCTTTTGCTGCTGCTCTGTCTTTCCTTTACAAACTATCTTTGAGCCTAAATTGCAGGTACTATGGAGACAAACCAAGCAGTTCATTGTACCATAAGTATTGCGTTTGATATCTATGTTCAATGGAGTTACTGTAACGTAGATATCAATACACCTTCATTTCAAAACTTATTAACTAACCACAAACTTCATAAACTGATCCTACTTATTTTGAACACTGATCTAACCTTCATGAGCATGCAGCCATGCATGTTGCGTATAAAACTTCCAATGCAGGGATAACCAAGACTGAATCTTTCCTTTTTAATTTCTTTGCATAAGAACTAATTGAAGATAGTGTTGTCAAAAGAGGCAATGGATGGCAAAATCATGAAGATATTTACATAACTACTCTCTCTCTGTGAAAATGAAAATATGTGAAACAATAGTATGAAGAGTAAAGATTAGGGTTCTACATGAAAGGGAAGATCGCATACTCTGCGTAGAAAAGATTCCATATGAAGCGATAGAACCCCAAGATTGCTTCCTGCAGAATTTCAATAAAATATAACATAAGGCATCGACTGCAGGTTGAAGTTATAATTAAGTTAATTAAAGACGAATAAATAAATGAAAACCCTCACATATGAATCTTACAAATACTGGTCACTTAGATTTTAGAAAGCTCAAACATCAGGCAAGTTGTTAACAATGAAAATCTTAGAGAGCTGAGTGGCTGAAATTGATCAATAGACTGTTTGCTGCCATAGGTTGCCAAACATATCGATGCAGTCATACAGGCATGATCATCCCACAAGTAAAAAATTCAACCGAAGTGCATCCGGTGCACTTAAGGAAACATAATAGTCTTTCTATGAATCAACCAATGCAAACCTTCTGCAAACACTAACAGGCGAAGACGTAGCAACTAGACCATAGTTAAGAGAATGATAAAAGTAGTAGTATTTTCAATATAAAACATGATTTTAATTATTATATCAATAATTTGATTCAAAGATGGTCATTCTATATGCTTCAAAATTCATCAACTTTTTAAGTTGATAAACATCATCGTCTTACTTCTAGTCCTCTAGCCAAAAAGCGAACTATTTCTCCCTTCGAGTTAGTACATTATGATGTTTGGGGACCTAGCCCAGTTACCTCAAAACCTTAATTTTGATATTTTATCTTGTTAATGATTATTCTAGACACAACTTTATTTGATGAAACATTGCTCATAATTATTTTCATTTTTCTTACCTTTCTGTTGAAATTCGAACCCAATTTGGGAAACAAGTACAAACTTTACGGAGTAACAATGCCAAAGAATATATTTCAGGACCATTTCAGAAATACATGCTTGAGCAAGATATTACCCATGGCTTCTTGTGTTGACATCTCTTCTTAAAACTGGGTTGCTAAGATAAAATAGACATATTCTAAAAACTTTTAAAGCTTTGTTATTTCAAAATGCAGGTGCCTAAATACTTCTGGGCAGATGTCGTCTCCTCTTCCATTGTTTTGTCTGGTAATACTCTTTTACAAATAAAAATTAGTTTTCTATCGCACCTAAGATGTGTGCACGATTAACATCTATGCTCCAGCTTGAGGGGAGTGCTAAAAGCTGTAAATAAGTCAACCCAAATTATAGAGCAACGATATAATTGTAGGGTTGAAGTTAGGGATTTGTTTCATTCACTTTCCTTTTCATATACTATAATACTTCTATATATAGTCGCGAATTCTTTGTGAACAAATACACATCTTATTCCATTCTAAAACCATCTGTTATTCAACAGGCCGAATGTTCTTCCCAATGTGTAAAGAAATTTCCATTACGTAAGCTATTATTGCTTTTGTCATCGGCATCAACTATTTTTCTTTGACATTGTCGTCGCTTTTTGCAATCTCCATGAGAGAAAGGCAGATTGCTTGCAGCGACATCCAAGGTTAAAATTTTTATTGCATCAAATTCACGTCCTCTTGGAAAGCTGATTTTGTAGTTCTAGCTCCCATGTGCGAGCTGAGTTTCAGAGGGATTGTTGGTTGGTTGGTTGTTTGGGGATTTCATGATGTTGATGAAGTTGAGGGTACTGGCTAATTGTATTGCGAAGTAGGACTGTAAGGTATGGATTTATTGGAATTTGACTAATCAAGCCCTTTAGTCCACGATTTTAGCCTCTCTTTTTTCTAATTCATGGCTTTATAAACTAATGCCTTCATTTAGAGCTTTTACAACTAATACTGATGAAGTAACAACAACAATAGAGGAGGCACTTGACGATCCCAAGTGGAGAAAGACAGTAGAAGAAGAGGTTGAAGCTCTTGAAAAGAATGGAACCTGGTCCATCACTGAACTGCCACAAGGGAAGAAGACTGTAGGCTGCAAATAGATATTCACTGTCAAGTATAATTCGGATGGTAACATTGAACGGTACAAAGAAAGGCTTGTGGTTGAAGGGTTTACACAAACCTGTGAAATTGATTACAATGAAACATTTGCTCCGGTTGCTAAACTCAACACAGTGAGGGTACTTCTAAGTCTTGTTGTTAACGAGGAATGGGGTCTTCACCAATTAGATATCAAAATGTCTAAAAGAAGAATTCTACATGAAGATTTCTGCAGATATGAAGGGACAGTTGAAAAAGGAGGCGGTGTGCAAATTAGAGAAGTCCCTTTATAGACTAAAACAATCACCGAGGGCCTGGTTTGAGAGGTTTACCACAACTGTTCTAAAGAATGGGTTCAAGCAGTGTCAAGCAGATTATACATTATTTATTAAGGTAACAACAAACCACAAACAAGTTATCTTAATTGTGTATGTAGATGATATTATTATAACTGGAAATGATGTTTATGAAATTGAAGAGTTAAAAAGACTGCTAAGAAGGAAATTTGAAACTAAAGACTTGGAAAACCTAAGGTATTTCTTAGGCATGGAAGTGGCAAGGTCTAACGAAGGACTTGTTATCAATCAAAGGAAGTATTTGTTACATTTACTGTCCGAGACTGGAATGGTGGGATGCAAACCAGCTGAAACACCAATGGAGGCAAATTTGCAATTTGAGAAAGAACCGGGAGCTCGAGTGAACAAAGAACAATATCAAAGGCTGGTTGGTAAATTAATTTACTTGTTTTTTACAAGACCTGATATAGCCTTTCTTGTTGGCATAATTAGACAACATATGGCAGACCCAAGAGAGGAACACCTCCAGGCAGCAAATTGAATACTAAGATACTTAAAGAGCACACCTTATCATGGTTTAAATTTTAGAAAAACTGAAAATCGAAAAGTTCAGCGTTTTTTCGATGCAAGTTGGGCAGGAGATTGACTAATAGAAGGTCCACTAGTGGCTATTGTTCATTTGTGTGGGGTAATCTTGTAACTTGGAGAAGCAAAAAGCAAACTGTTGTGACTAGAAGCAATGTTGAGACAAAATACAGAGCCCTAGCTCTCGGAATTTACGAAGGAATCTAGCTCCAATGGCTATTAAAGGAATTGCAACTAAACAAAGAAGAAAAATTTGAGATTCTAAGTGACAGTCAACCTGCCATAAGGATTGCCAAGAATCTTTTACACCATGATAGGACCAAACATGTTGAAGTGTTTGTTGAAATTGATAGACACTTCATCTCAGAAAAGGTCAATGGAGAAGTGGCAGAACTGTCCTTTGTCCCTTCGTGTTGAAATTCACATACAATTCTTGAAGTTTTCAAGAATATACAGAAGCGTATTTCTTATTCAACGTTAAGCAGTACATTTATACATGAGTTCATAGACTTAACAGCCTTCTAACTGCTCCTAACCACTCCAACAGACTCAACAAACTGCTAACAACCTACTCATTAATTGTGCACACATCAAACTAACAGCAACATATGTGAACTCACGAAAGCATGAGTTCATGCTTCAACATTCTCCCTGTCCTCCTCGGTTGTTCTCGTTTCAGCTACCTGAACTTTTTGACTAAACAGAACATGTGCAGATTTAGCCAAAGGTTTGGTCATTCCATCAGCCACTTGATGCTCTGCTGGTACGTAACTAACACGAACAGCTCCACATTCTACCTTTTCACGCACAAAGTGTATGTCCAATTCTATATGCT